TGTTGGGAAAAAAATGGCCTTGATAGACTTGCTTAATGCAGGGTTGCTACAAACCTTCAATTGGTTTAAAAAAAAAAAAAATCGCAGTATCTGCCTATTTGGGAAAAACTTTCAAACCATGTTTTCACTGTGCTCTCACACCACAATTAACACAGAAGACTTCTGTGACCAGCTAGATGTACTCCTATTAAATTCCAATACTCTCGGCCAGGTGTGGTGGCCCACACCTGTAATCCCAGCACTTTAGGAGGCCAAGGCAGGCCTGAGGTCAGGAGTTTGAGACCAGCCTGACCAACACAGTGAACCCCATCTCTACTAAAAATACAAAATTAGCTGGGCATGATGGCGCATGCCTGTAATCCCAGCTACTTGGAGGCTGAGGCAGGAGAATCTCTTGAACCCGGGAGGCGGAGGTTGCAGTGAGCTGAGATTGCGCCATTGCACTTCAGCCTGGGCAACAAGAGCAAAACTCCGTCTCCAAAAAAATAAAATAAAAACAAATTCCACTACTGCCTACCTGAAGACAGTGTTACATCCCACAGATTGAGGGCTCAGTCCCCACGACTGCCCCCCAGCCCAGGCACCAGTCACAAGTCCAGGCTTCCAGAACTTTTGACCAACTGGCTTCAAGTTGGGGTTCCCACAACTCCCTCTTTCAGGTCACTTAATTTGCTGGGGCAACCACACTTATATTTACCGGTTTATTACAAGGGATGTTACAAAGGAAACAGATAAAGAGATATGTAGAGCAGCTTATGGGGGAAGGAGCTTCTGTGACCTCCCTGGGGCACCAACCTCCTGGAACCTCCATTTGTTCAGCCAGCTGGAAGCTCTCCAAACCCACTCCTCTTAGGTTTTTATGGAAGCTTCGTGACATCAGCATTTCCTCCACCAGGGTAGGGTGGGGAAAGGACCCTCTGATTTTTCATAAGACCTACAGTCAGAAAGGCAGGAGTGGTGATTAGAGTTCTACCTTGGGGCAGGTAAAAGGAGAACAGGAGGAGGTCAGAGATATTCTGTTTTTTGAGGCCTGCCCCTAAGGCCTAACATACCCACCATTAAACAAAAAAAACTGTAACAAGGGATATGGGAGTTACGAACTAGGACCTGCAAACAAAAATATAATACATATCATAACACCATACCATGAAATACAATAACACGAGGTCTGCCTGTACTTAAATGCCAACAACGGAATTATGATGACATGCTCCAAAGACAATTTCTTTTCTTTAGAGAATGTAGCCTCACCAGTCATCCCTTCCCAAGGATGCTGGTTGTAGAGTTTTATGACAAAGATATTTCTACCTCCAGAGATGACAGCTTAATAGTATAGAACACAGTTCTCTAAGTTGCTGAGGACCTGAAATGGATACAAGTGAGGCATTGCCCATTGGTAGTTTTAGTAAGTGGTTCATCTGATACCATCAGGTTTAAAAGTGTACCAGCCTCCTAGGGCTGCCCTAACAAAATACCACAGACTGAGTGGTTTTACAGAAATTTATTTTCTCAATGTGGTATGTGTATGTATGTGGACTGCTACTCATCCATTTAAAGAAGTATGAAATAATGTATTTTGCAGCAACTTGGATGGGACTAGGGCTATTATCCTAAGTGAAGTAACTCAGGAACTGAAAACCAAACACCACATGTTCTCACTTAAAAGTAGGAGCTAAGCTATGGGTACACAAAGGTATATTGAGAGGTATAATGGACATTGGAGAGTCAGAAGAGTGGAAGGAGGGTAGGAAGGTGATGAAGAATGGAAAGTTACCCCTGGGGGGCTGGGCACAGTGAGTCACATCTGTAATCCCAGCACTTTGGGAGGCCGAGGCAGGCAGATCACCTGAGGTCAGGAGTTCAAGACCACCCTGGCCAACATGGTAAAACCCCATCTCTACTAAAAATACAAAAATTAGCCAGGCATGATGGCAGGTGCCTGTAATCCCAGCTATTCGGGAGGCTGAGGTAGGAGAATAGCTTGAACCCAGGAGGCGGATGTTGCAGTGAGCCGAGATGGCACCACTGCACTCCAGCCTGGGTGACAGAGCAAGACTCTGTCTCAAAAAAAAAAAAAAATTATCTGTGGGGTACAATGTATACTATTTGCATGACAGGGTACACTGAAAGCCCAGACTTCACCACTGTACAGTTCATCCATGTAACCAAAAACCACTTGTTCCCCTAAAGCTATTGAAATAATTTTTTTTAAAGGAAGAAATTTATTTTCTCACAATTCTGGAAGCTGGAAGACCAAGATCAAGGTGCTAGCACAGTCAGTTTCTCCTACAGCCTCTCATGTTGGCTTGCAGATGTCCACTTTCTCGCTCTATCTTCCTCATAAAAATGCCATTCCTGTTGATCCAGGCCTCACCCGTATGACTTCGTTTAAACTTAATTGCCTCCTTAAAGGCCATATCTCCAAATACATTCACACTGGGGCTAGGGCTCCAACCTATGAATTTTGAGTGACACAATTCAGTCCATAACAGTCACAGATTGCAGAACATGTTTACAGATACTAGTGGATCATGCAAATTTGGTGTGCCATGTTTGGTTCTGTAAGGAGAGAATAATCAGGAGGTACTGTAATAGGAAAGGTGTAATGTGGGCTCTCATAGGCTTTTCGGAGCCCTGTGCCTCTGAAGGGATTCTTTTATCAAGACATCCCTATGTGTAAAATTCAGGAAAATTTTTCGACCTTCGCTTGATAAGCTTCAGATTGTCCGAGGTCCACACAGTGACACAGCCTGATGTAGGACTTCCTAATGATTCCGTTGCCTAAGCTGAATCTCCCCTGCTCACCTTCTCAACAGCCACCTAGGGCTCCAGACAAATAAGCATACATTAACCTCATATTTACATAAGACTCATTAAAGTTGAGGTGTTTCAGTGTACCATAGCCAGGATAAGGAACAACAGGAACAAACCATCCCAGAGTTTCCTGGAACTAGGGAAAAAGAAACAAAGAAGGGAAGGAAGGAGAGAGAGAGAGAGAGAGAGAGAGACTGGGTTTAAGTCTTGATTCTATCACTTATTAATTGACTTTAGGAAAGTTTCTAAATTTCTCTGGACATCAGATTTCTCTTTTGTAAAATGGAAATAAGGATACATGGCCTCACCAAGTTGTCAAAGGATTAAGCAAAATAACACCTCAACAACTAGCATGCTATCTAGAACATGGTAAGCACTCAGTACATTTTTGCTTTCTTCTTCTATTATACTACCAGGTAAAAGAGAAATTTGGTGAACAAAGGACAAAGAGAAAAGTTAAAAGTTCCACTTTTACATAAGTGGTTTAACATCAATTTCTAAAGTTATAAAAATGTATAAGTCTTAAATAACACCCCGCATCGCATGTTGTAAATTAGGTAATCTGCTAAGCTGTACAATAGGCATTGCATTTGAGCCATTTGAATTGAATTCTCATTACTGCCCTTATATAGTGACAGCAGAACGAGCCGAACTCATTCGTTAGACTTGACTGGTTGATGTGATAATAAATATTGTTAAATGGATTAAAAGGTACCAGAAACAGTTATGTGAGCTATAATGGAATCCTCTGTTTAAAACCCTTCTGTGCCTTTCCATTGACCATACTATTGAGTCAGAACTTTTTCAACGTGCATGATCTGAGCCCTATTTATTCCTCTTCTACCCTTCTATCTCAGCTCTCACATCTAAGGCCAGCTTCCCACCACATTGAGCTCTTAGTTTCTCTTCCCTGGACTCTCACATGTGCTGTGCACACTGAGACACACTATATATATGTAACTATATGTGTAATTTTCCATTACATATGTAGTTGTATAACCCATACATTTTCAGATACTGCTTAAGTAGAGAGTAAAACAGCGTAAATGTATTACTTAGTATAGATGTTATTATGTCCTACTTTATACAGTGTATCAGATCCAAATCTAAAATGAAATGAGGTCTTCCTCCTTTTAACTACTATAAAGGATTTTTTTTTAATTTCCTTTTTTTTTTTTTTTTTTTTTTTTTTTGACAAGGTCTTTCTGTGTCACCCAGGCTGAAGTATAGTAGTACAGTCATAGCTCACTGCAGCCTCCAAACCCCGGGACTCAAGCGATCCTCCCACCTCAGCCTCCTAAGTGGCTAGGACTGTAGGCACACATTACCACACCCAACTAATTTTTTTTTTATTTTTTTGTAGAGTGATGGGGGTTCTGGCTTTGTTGCTCAGGCTGATCTCAAACTCTTGGCTTCAAGCAATCCTCCTGCTTCGGCCTCCCAAAGTGCTGAGATTACAGACATAAGCCACCATGCCCAGCCAAGGATTCTTAAATGCTTGTGCAGCCACTGCCATATCATTTCGACTTGGGTTTTCAAAAGAAAAGGAAATCAAATTTAATGATTACTGTAACACAAAGAAGGGGATTCTCATAAAAAGCCTTTTTCTCTTAAATTCGTATCAAGTAAAAAGCTCATAAGGATACTTTTTAAAGGTAGAAAGCTTAAGTTGTTGGTATAAAACATCAAAAAATATATGTGTGTGTAGAGAAATTTATCTCGAAAGAGGCATTAACAATAAACCAAGCGATGAAATCAGATTGTTCCATTGATCTTTCCTTTTTGTAAAACTGTAGACCTTCTGAATAATTTTTTTTCAGATGTGTCTGCTTAGCAAAGAGGAGACATAAAGTTAGTATAAAACAATTCTAAAAAAGTAAATGGTGTGCAAGCTTTTTAAATTTGCTTCACAAGTAATTCACTTAAAAAATTAACATCTGCTATTTTGAAGCTAATCTTAGTGTATTGAATGCTCGTAACCATTTCTCAATCCCACATTGTTTTATCTTGCTTCTCCTGCTGTGTTCCCACCACCCCTCATCCCATTAGCAAACCTTGAGACAGCCTCACACTTACCAAAGTACTGCTTTGGTTTCAGCTGCTCTTCTGCAAGAGGAAGTGAATGTTGGGGGTTTTCTCTGTGGTACAGTTGTGATAAAGCTGTGGTGGTCTTATCTCTCTCTTAGGTAGTGGCTCTTTATGACTACACAGCGAATCGATCAGATGAACTAACCATCCATCGCGGAGACATTATCCGAGTGTTTCTCAAAGATAATGAAGACTGGTGGTATGGCAGCATAGGAAAGGGACAGGAAGGTTATTTTCCAGCTAATCATGTGGCTAGTGAAAGTAAGTTTTATGCTCCCTTCCTGGTTTACTAATATGGTATAACTGATAGTCCAAGATTTTATCATTTTCTAGTCTTTAATTTACTGTCTTTGTAACCTTTGCATATGTTTGCCAATGGGTATTGCTTTTCATTCCCATGATATAAAAAAAATAAAGAGAGGAGGCACTAGTACGTTTAGAAAGCTGCTACATTCTGAGATTGGAATGTTTGTTTCATGGACTTCTTATCCCAGGGGACCATGCCCCTCTAGCTGCCAGCTTTCTTATTCAACTCATTTGACCCTGCCACCTGTTTCATGCACAGTTCTGTCAGTTCTTCTCTTGCCACAGTGACTCCTCAGTTGACTGGCATCTTACGAGCCTCTAGTTCCCCAACTGCAGTTCTTTTACTTTGTATGCCTCAGTCCTAGCTGGTAACCTGCGAAAACAAAACTACAATAAATTGTTTCATTCTCAAGTAAATTTAGCCCTCATTTATGGAAAAAAAAAAATGAGCTAGAGAAGAAAATCTACATATGAGTTTCTGAAAGCTGTAGATTCACCACCAGGCCTTGAGAGGTGAAAACAGAACTAATACAGAGAGCCTGAAAACAAAAAATAATAATAACTTGAAAACTATCATTAAAGGGGAGAAGTATAGTAGTGCTCCTTCAGAAGAATGCATCCTGTCCACAATTAACTTGATAGCATGCTAGGAAAAGCACAACTCTCAGGAAAACTGACTTCTAACCCCAGCTCAACAATTTACACTGATATGCCCCAGTTTCCTTCTGTAAAACAAAAAAATTGAGGAATATCATCTGTAAGCTTTTCTTCTGTAAGCACTAAAATTGTGGCTCTGATTCAAAATGTAGTACAGGCAGGCCAGGCATGGTGGCTCACGCCTGTGATCCTAGCACTTTGGGAGGCCAAGGCGGGCGGATCACTTGAGGTCAGGAGTCCGAGACCAGCCCAGCCGACATGGCAAAACCTTGTCTCCACTGACAATACAAAAAATTAGCTAGGCGTGGCGGCAGTCTCCAGTAATCCCAGCCACTTAGAAGGCTGAGGCAAGAGTGCTTGAACCAGGAAGGCATAGGTTGCACTGAGCCAAGATCACACCACTGCACTCCAGCCTGGGAAACATGCAAAACTCTATCTTAAAAAATAAAATGTAGTGTAGGCAGCCTTGAGATTGAGAACAATCTGTGTCTTGAATATTTAAGTCTTTTGTTTCTGCAAAGAAATAATTATTATAAATAATAGTTGGTTTTCAGGATAGTCTACAAAACCATTTAACTCAAAACTACGACTAAACAAAAATATTGATTCTAACTTAAGTTTTGAATTTTGACAGCCAAAGAGATGAAGGAATGGAAGAAGAATTTCCTTCGTGATTACTGGATGCTGGGCTAAGCTGGGCTAAGCCTAGATAAAATTATCTATCTTTGACACCTTCCCACGACCTTCTCTGCACCCAGGTTCTTCCCAGTGCTCCCCTCCCCAGTCTCTCAAGTGGCCCTAAGTCTCATTGCAGCTCCCTTCCTCAGCTTATCTGCCAGTCAGCAAACTCCTCCCCTAAAAAGTGCTATGTGTCTCAAAAATTATACCACTTCTCACTCCTATAATAAAATTCTTAATTTCTTTTGTGTAGCTGTTTTAGTTATCTTCTTGTAAGTAGTAAATGACATATAACTCTTTTTTTTTTTTTTTTAAGACAATGTCTCACTTTGTCACCCAAGTTAGAGTACAGTGACGCAGTCATGGCTCACTGCAGCCTTGACCTCTGGGCTGAATCGGTCCTCCCATCTCAGCCTCCTGAGTTCTGGAACTACAGGCATGTGCTACCATGCCCAGCTAATTTTGACATGTAACTCTTAAATGCTATTAGAGGTATATTTTTGTGTTTAGAAGAGGTTGCATAATGGAAAAAACAAGAGGCAGTATGAAAGGAAGAAATTTTAGGACAGGTTAATTCCTATGTAGGCGTAAGATAGCATGTAAGTTCCATAAACTCAGCACTTCTAACTTCCAGATTATCTAAAATAGCCAAGTTCCTTCTTCCCATTGTTGGCTCTCCCACAGGGTCAACAGCTGAGGTTAAACAGGGGTAGCTTCTGTTTAAATCAAGCTTTTTAAATCAAGAGCTGCCGGCACAATCATAGTCACTCCGGAGTATGCCTCATTTTAACAAGATATTAGAATCCACTATTCTTTTCGTATACCAGTGGAAATATTTTTTTAATTTTTTCACTTGTGTATCTTTAGGCAGGGTGAGATTAGTACTTTAACTTTAGAATCTAGCTTACAAAAATAACCTCTTAGGCTTGCAGATCTTGAGAGGATATAGATATTTGATCTACAGTGAATTAAAAAGCTAATAAGGCTAGATGCAGCGGCTCACGCCTGTAATCCCAACACTTCAGAAGGCTGAAGAGGGAGGATCACTTGAGGCCAAGAGTTTGAGACGAGCCTTGGAAATATAATAAGACTCCATCTCTAGAAAAATAATTTTTTTTTAAAAATTAATAAAATGTGTTCTTCTTCCATAATGACCAAAGCCAGACCTCTGAAGCATATTGCAGTGGTAAGTGATGGCTACATACAGAAATTAATTCTTTTTCTCAGTAGTGAACATCCTCAACTGCCATAATTCCTTATTGTATCCCAGAAAATGTATGTCTTCTTTTGGCATCAATCACTGCTTCTTTAAAAAGCCTTGTAAAGACCAGCTCAAACAGGAAAAAAAAAAAAAAACTTAGAAAATCTAAGTCTATAATGATTGAATTCTCCCACTTCATTAGGGGTTTCCTTTCCCTTTTATTCCTTTGTTTACCTGAATTTAACAAAAAAAACTCAATTGCCCAGTTTTAACATTAGAGAAAACAAATGACTGTCAGTAGCATACTCTAGTCTAAAAATAATAGGAAGAATTGTCCCTGATCTTTATCTGAAGCCAACTATGCAAAGTAAATGATCTAAAGAAGTATACAAGCAGAATCTCTACCCACTGTTCCATTGAGAGCCTGTCCTCTAACAGAACAACACAATGAGAGAAATTTGTACTCCCACTATTATAAAGAATTTATTCACTTTGTATCTTAACACGCTGGAAAGAACAACATGATCAGCTTCCCTATCACATCTAACACTCTTAAAATACAAGATAAAGAAACCCAGGAATAAAATCACCCCATATATAAAGATAGATAGTACATCTCTTAATCTTAGTTGTACAATGTTGATAGAGTATATTTCAGCAGTTTCTTTCAATTCAGAGTTGTTCTTAATCAAAAAGATTTTCTTTTTAACCCTTCAAAATTTGCACATAGCTGTTTAGATTCAATACCCTATATAGATTCAATAGATTATATAGAATATTGGATTAAATGAATCTTAAATTCAACACTGTATACAGATTCAATATCATTTATAGTCCTAACTGCATGCTTATTGATTTCATATTATCTTCCCAAATTATCCTTTCCTTTTTTTTTGAGACAAAGTCTCGCTCTGTCTCCCATGCTGGAGTGCAGTGGTGCTATCTCAGCTCACTGCAACCTCCACCTCCCAGGTTAAAGCAGTTCTTGTGCCTCAGCCTCCCATAGCTGGGACCACAGGCACAAGCCACCATGCCCAGCTAATTTTTACATTTTTGGGTAGAGACAGGGTTTCACCATGTTGGCCAGGCTGATCTGAAACTCTTGGCCTCAAGTGATCCACCTACCTCAGCCTCCCAAAGTGCTGGCATGAGCCACCACACCCTGCCCCCAAATTATTTTTCCTGCATACTTCTACCTGATAAAATCCTACCTAGTCTTCAGAGTCTGCTACACCTACCGCTTCTTCCATTAAGCGTTTTCCATCCCCACATCGGAGTTTGTCTTTGTAATTATTTCGCTTTCAAATAACGTCACATTTATTTTATATTGTAATTACTTGTGAACATGTCTTTCTCTGACCAGATTTTAAGTTCCTTGCTAGTGAAGAACATATGTTCTCCAGCAGTTCCTAGCAGATAACCTTGCATTTAGCAGGTTCCTGGTAAATGTGTTTTGAGATAAAATAAAATAAGCATCTGTCTGACCACATAGTAAGTGACAACACCACCTTCTACATTTCTGAAATCCTGATGATTAAAATTTTCCAATCATACTTCTTTTGATAACTCATGAGTAAAACTGCAAATTGCCATATCAGACAAGTTTTAGGTATCTTATTGGTACACCAAGGAATGGAATATTGATTTCTTTAATTTCATATTTGCCCCTACCATTGTTTTTTCCCTATGGAACAGTGCTCCTCAATTTGGTTACATGAATTCCTTTTTTCAATTTCAGCACTGTATCAAGAACTGCCTCCTGAGATAAAGGAGCGATCCCCTCCTTTAAGCCCGGAGGAAAAAACTAAAATAGAAAAATCTCCAGCTCCTCAAAAGGTAAATGTTTTTAAGAATATGTGTTACATATGTACTTTGATTTTCACTCTCTCTGGATAAAATATTACTTCATTTTTTATTATTATCCTTTATTGTTCACATTTTTTTTGCCCTGGCACTAACATCAGTATGGAATATGTAAGGCAAATATTATAGCCATTTTCCAGATAAGGAAACTGAGGAGGCTCAGAGAGGTTAAAGTAGACTCCAAGTCACAGCCTAAGTGATGGGACAAGGAACTTGTGAGTGACTTTAGGTGTGCTATTTCCACTCTGCACTTATTTCTTTAACTGTGATACTGACAGGGTTTCATCAGCCCCACCTGGGAGGTAAACATTTGTGCTGCAAGATCACTGGAGTTCACAAAATTAAGATGTTCTGTGTTTATGGAGTATTCCTTTTACTTGCAAATAATTTAAAGTGTTTTTACATTAAAATGAATATAGCTGTATTATCAGCCAGAGCGACCAGAGAAATGTCATGTATTTTAGTCTGTGTCATCAGACCCTTGGGGGTTTTCAGCCAGTATTCTTCTGATGTTAGCAGTACATGGGTAGAAAGGTTTAATAAGCACTGCACTATCATGTATATTGCTTATTAACCTTGTTTTGTTATATGACATTAGCTCTTACCTTAAACTGAATAATCTCACTGCTTCTTGATTCCATGAACCAACATAGATTTTTTTTTACAAATACATCTCACGTACATATCATTACAATGTCACAATAAAGTTTTTTGACAGTTGAACCTGACATATATCGTTCACTCATTCAGCATGTATTTATTGAATGCCTTCTTCCATGCACTGTGTTAATCCCCACTGAAATAGGAGTTTCAAGAGTAGGCAAGGCACTTGCCCTTTAGGCTGATGGGTGACACACCTGCAAGCAAGCAAGTCCAGTAGACTGGTGGAAACTATAATGAAGACATGTACACAATGCTTTGGGAACGCATACGAAGAAACTCTCTTAAATATACCCTGGAGGAGTCCAGGAAGAGTTCCCAAGGAGGAAATCCTTGACCTGAGTCATCTAGGATGAAAAAATATGTGTTAGGTCAGTGAAGTTAGAAAAAACTTTCCAGCAGATGGAATAACATGAGTAAGTTATGGGATGGTATGATTATATCTGGGCACAGGTTCTAATACAGAGAAGGACAGGAGAAATGCAGGAGCCAGGCCACAGAAGAGCATAGCATACTCTGCTAAAACACTCAGATTTTATACTTCAGACTAAGAGGATCCCTGAAGGAGGAGGTAATCCAGGGAGTGACATGAACAGATTTACATGTTAGAAAGATCATTCTAGTGCAACAGAATGGTTGCTGAATTTGAGGTAGCTAAGGACCTAAGATAAGGAAATTAGGAATCCATGGAAATATAATATAAAAACCTGAAGTAATGGAAGAGGGCAAAGGACATTAGCTGTAATTGACAGGATTTCATGATTGATTTGATTTGATTAGTGAAATTGGAATCTAGGATTTTGCTAAGGGTTTTCACTTATACAACTGGATAAATAGTGGTGCCACAGAAGTAATGAAATAAATAAGAAAGATGGGAAGACAGGGACAAGGAATCACCACTCCTTACAGTTAGAGATGAAAAGCTTGGTTTTAGCTATCTCAATTTGTTGGTAGTATCTGTAGTGCTCCCAGATAGAAATATTCACTGGAAGCCAGAAATGCAGGGTTGGAATTTGAGAGAATGTAGAGCCTCAAAATCAAATGAGAAAGAATTAGTGTGTTGTTTCTATTATATCAGTAAGTGGAAGCTTGTAATAAAGGAAGAGCTCAGTATGTCATTGAGTTATAAGAGGAGAACACCAAGGATATAACCCAATTACACTAGTATTAAGGGACAGTCAAAGGAAGAGAAGATTAAGAAAGAATAAAGGAAACGGAAAAAAAGAAGAAAAAAAACAGAAAAAACAAGTGCACCGGAAGCCAGAAGAGGAAGAAAAGTTCAAGAAGAGGATAGTTGGAAACAGCCAAGCAGTTAGGTTGTCAAAGCATTTGGTCATCAAGAGGACCCTGGTAGCTTTGTACCAGAATCAGTAGATTGGCAAGGATTAAAGAGTAGATTAAAGTTTGAATGAGGCCTCAGCAAGTGAACTCTCATGGAAGTCATTCTCAAAGTTTCACTTTGAAGAATAAAAAAAGATTCAGCAGTGGCTAAAGGGAGACCTGATGTCCATGAATGATTTTTTAAATAATGAACAGACATAAAATTATATATTAAGGAGACAAAGCCAATAGACAGGTTCAGGTTGAAGATAGATAAAGAAAGGACACCAAGGACACAGTGGATCTTGGAGGAGGCAGGAAGTACTTTATTGGAAAGACATGTTGACAGATTAGTCTTGCTCGAAGCAGAGGGTTCTCAACTCAGAGTGATTTTGCCTTCCAGGAGTCATTTAGCGAGGTTTGGAGACATTTTTTGTTGTCTCAGCTACAAGGTGGGGGATAATACTGGCATCTGGTGGGTAGAGGTCATGGATGTTGCTAAGTATCCTAGAATTCAGAGAACAGCTCCCCTCAACAAATAATTCTCTGGCCAAAAATGTCAACAGTATGGTGCTTAGAGCAGTGTCCCTCTAACACAGGTAAGTGTGGGTAGGGATGCAGGTAAGTTGATAAAGTGTTGAAGTCTAGAAATTAAAGATATTTTTATGTTCTCCAGAACAAAAGCAAGGTTCACTTCTAATGTGAGGTGCAGAGGAGTGAGATAGGAGCACAAGAAGAATAATAACCATTTGAGTAAGGAAAATAGGAACCCATTTAGGACATATAAAAAGATTCATTAGTAGTTCTGAGAGCTGCTGTTTTAGATACCATAAAAATGGAAGTGACATAAATATGTGCAGTTGGATTTATTTTCTTCAGTAGTCTCTTCTCAGCATCTAGGGCATAGCAATAGAGAAGGCAGATTTGGTTTAATATAGAATTGGAGTTGTGAATGTGAAAGGAATATAAGAGGTTAAGAGACTTGATAGCATTGGTAAGAGTTACCAGAGTGATGCACCATGAAGGATTATCCAGTTGGAAAGGACGTAGAATCAGAAGATTGGCAGAGTTAGAAAGCAAGGTTCTCCTCTGCAAGGTTGCAGTAAGCTACTGGGGCCCAGGTAGAAGCATAGTGTCACACAGAAAAGGAATCAGCAAGCTGGAACTATAATGTTCAAGGCCATAAACTCTTTTGCTTACTTAGTGTCTCAGATGTCAGGCAGCTTCAAGTTGTGGTAAATTCATAGAGTATGTGTAAGAGCTGATGTGAAATTGAAGAACATGTTATTAGAGTTGAAGTGGTCAAGGAACTGGGACCCAGAGTGTTGTACAGGTTATAGTCTTGAGCATTAAGATTCCAGGATGATAGCAAGAGTTAGGATGAGGAGGAAACTGATGAACAAAGAGTTGACATCCTTAATTCTTGGGTTAGAACAAAGGTCTCAACTTTGGCTTCACATCGAAATCACCAAACCAATTAAAAAACTAGATATGGATAACAATCGCCACCCCTTCAAATACATTTAATTGGTAAAATGGGAATTAGGTAAGGGCAGATTTCAAAAGCTTTCCAGGTAATTTTAATGTGTAGCCAACATTGACGGCCATTGTGTTAGCGCAACCACAAGGTCTGCAGATCACACATGCAAAGATAAGTAGAGGATGGAATGGCCAGGTGTCAAAGCACTCGAGGAAAAGTGCTTTGGCATTACAGTATCCTAAAATCAGCAGTAGAGAGCGAAGAAGAGGCCACTGTTAACTCCTGGCTCTCGTGGTTCATGAAAGAACCATGAACCATGTGAGAATGGGTATGTGAGAATGAATAGCCTGTGCTGTAAGGAGCTGAAAGAAAAATGGTTTCTTGGTAAAATATCAGTTGCAAATAAGCAAGGATATATGGTGATGGTGGCCTACAACAATGTAAGGACTGTAAGGGGCACAGTCAAGAGGAGTGGCAGGAATTGGATTATGGCAAATGTTGCATGTGTAACAGTACTCATTGTTTGTAATTCAGCACCAGATTTAAGAATTTAGGAAAATGCTTGTTTTAGTTGTGTCTGCTGTAACAAATATAGACTGGGTGGCTTAAACAACAAAATTTATTTTTTCCAGTTCTGGAAGCTGGGAAGTTCAAGAACAACGTGCTGGCAGATCCAGGGTCTGGTGAAAGTCTCCTCCCTGGTTTGCAACTTCATTTATCCTCACTGGGCAGCGAGAGGAAGCAAGCTTTCTTGTGCCTCTCATAAAAGCCCCAGTTCCATTTATGAAGGCTCTGCCCTCATGGCCTAACTGTCTCACAAATACCTCCTAATAACCATCTCATTGAGGGTTAGGATTCTAACACGTGAATTTGGGGGTTACACAAACATGAGGTCCATTACATAAACATGAGGTTAACACAAACATAACACAAACCTGAGGTCTAAATTTGTAACATAAAAACTTTGAATGCAGTGGAAGCATTTGTAACATTGGTATAAAGGGTTGCTGTGACAATTAACAATACTTTTAGTCTATATTAAAAACTGTGTGATGCTATGAAAGATATAGCCTTTACTTTTTGTGACTTTCTCATGTCCCTGACTTTGCAACATGCTTAACTTTGAAACTGAGGTGACTTAATACCCCCTCTTAGTATGTTTCTGTCTATTACCCTTGAGTTAACTCTGACTCTACCAGAGGATATATAAAGAACTCTGTCAATGTCTTACCTGTGAAGTTGGTATTGCCCCTGCATCTTCCTGATGTGCCTGTGTTCTTATGTATAGGGACCTCCTACTTGCTTCCAAAGCTTCTCCGTTCTCACTGCCTGCACCACTCCTCTACTTAGGTGGACTCACTGCACCAGTCTTCATTTAGACTGTAGTCGATGACTTTTGCCCCTCACAGACTGATCTCCATGCTTCAGACATATCTTCATGTTCATATTCCAGCAGACCAGTTCTTCAGATACCATCATCTCCCTTGTGGTCTACTTCAGGCTAATCCCACTG